ACTCATCCCTGCCCTGGTTTTAGTTTTTAATCTCTTTCCTCTCCTGCAGTCTAGTGCAGATCGACAGCTGTTTTTTCCAAAACAGCACATGTCATATTTAAGAATGAATATCCTTTGCATATAATAATATGATAGCATATTTATTCTTCTGTTCACATTTTGCATGAAAAACACACTTAAGACAGTTAATAAAAAGTCATATAACATCTAGTTGATGACCCAGCGGAAGTAGTGCCATCTTCTTTAAGTCTCTGCTCTGTCAATGGCTATGCATATAGAAGCTTCTCAGTGACCTCCAGACACAGTTAACAGCTATGTACCTTAGCACTGGGTAATAATGTCATTCTGAGCACCATCCTGAGCACCATGTAATAATACCACTCTGAGCACCAGTCTCACAGTCTTGCAATAATTGTTGACAATTTGTCTCCTTAACTAGACTGTGAGGCCCTTGAGGGCACTGTGCTTTATTCATCTTTTTTATTCTGTGTAGCCCAGAGCCTGGTGCTTATTACATAGCCAGTACATTCTTGGAGGAAATCATCTCTTACTCAACTGGTGTCAGGAGGAAACTGGGGACCACAGATTGGCAGGTTCAGGAATGCTTTGCACTACTGAGCAGCTACTCAGACCTTGTGAACTGTATGTTCCCTACTTCCCTCCTGTCATATAATCTTTTCCCTTTTTTTTTTTAAGACAGAATCTCACTCTGTTGCCCAGGCTGGAGTACAGTGGTGTGACTCAGCTCACTGCAACCTCTGTCTCCTGGGTGCAAGCAATTCTCCAGCCTCAGTCTACCAGGTAGCTAGGATTACAGGTGTGCACCACCATGCCCAGCTGATTTTTGTGTTTTAAGTAGAGATGGGGTTTCACCATGTTGGCCAGGCTCGTCTTGAGCTCCTAACCTCAAGTGATCCGCCTGCTCAGTCTCCCAAAGTGCTGGGATTACAGGCATGAGCCACCGCGCCCAGCACCTTTCTGGGATTTAAAGTCCACTGATTCCGAGGGCTCCTGTCTACCACCACTTCCCTCCACCACAACATCTTCTCCTCCACACTGCTGACTCCCTGGGAGAGCAAATCCAAGAGTGAGCTATGATTAGACAGAGCGTCCACCTCCCCTAGACGACTGCAGGACCCAGGCCATTGTTTCTCATCTCTATGCATAGCTCAGCCACCACCACAAGCTCCAAACTCTCAGGCCACCCATCGTCACCCGGGCTCCTTCTACCACCTGGCTGTGGATGCTCTCTAACCTGACTGAGTCTGTGTCTCTTCACAAACACACTCTCTGGGACTCACAGTTGGTCCTCAGCAATGCCTCCTGTATCCCTCAGCTGCTTAGCTCTCACACAACCCTCCTGACTGCTCTACTTTAATGTTATGACCGTAAATCTCAAATAGGCCTTCAGGACTATCCAGTGACTCTACTAAACTTCCATAAAATGTTTACTCTTCCACTCTCAAAGATGAATCTTTCACACCTTCTCTGCTGCTCAAACTGCCATCGTTCCCCATTCCTGACTCACTCTTAGCTGATTATCTTGCTTCATATTTCACTGAGGACATAAACATATCCTAAAGGGATCAATATGTCTCTCCCTCCATCTCTGCTTACCTCAGGACTCACACACTTTACTTTCCTTGTCATTTTCCAGTGCTCTCCTTGGGCACTGAATCCTGTCTCATCTCTTGCTTATCCCATCAGTGCCTCTCTCTATCCCATCGTTCCCATCAGAATGTAAATATCATGTCATATACCCACCTCCCACCATTGAAAGCCTTCTCTAGAACCCTCCAGCTACACCACATCTCCTAGCTCCACTGTATAGCAAAACCTTTCACAAGAGTTGTCTATTTTCCCTGTTCCCACTTTTTTCATCCTTTGTTCTTTCTAGAAAGTACACAATCAGGCTTTTGGTTCCATCACTCCCCCGGAGCTGTGAGCCTCACGTGTCTTCCTCCTATCACTAAGAACCTCCTTACTGCCAAATCCAATGTTGGCTCCCAGTCCTCCTCTAACCTGACCTCTCAGCTGCATGTGACACAGTTGATTATTCCTGCCTTCTTGAAACATTTTCATTAGGCTTCCAGGATATCACATTCTCCTGATTTTTCCTCTCCCTGGCTAGTCCTTTGCAATCTTGTTTGCTGGCTGTTTCTCCTCTTTTTTTCTGACCTGACCCCCAAGTATCAGAATTCCCTGGAGGTTTTGTTCTTTTTTTTTTTTTTTTGAGATGGAGTCTCGCTCTGAGCCCAGGCTGGAATGCAGTGGCATGATCTCAGCTCACTGCAACCTCCGCCTCCTGGGTTCAAGCAATTCTCCTGCCTCAGCCTCCCGAGTAGCTGGAACTACAGGTGTGGAGGCTCTGTTCTTGTCTCTTTTCTCTCTTTACCTTCTCTTTTGTCAACCTCTTTATTCCTATAGCTTTAAAGATGTTGACATATCCCAAGTTTATATCTGTATCCCGCCTCCTCTCTAAGCTCCAAATCTATGTACAGTATCTAACTCCCTACTTGCCATCTCTACTTCGATGTCTAATGAATGTTTCTCAACACAGTGTACACAAAAGAAAGGCTCCTACTTCTCACTCCCTGCAGCCCCTTGCAACCATGTAACTCTCTGGTTTTGCTAGTCTTAGTAAAAAGCATTATTATTTACTCAGCTGTTCAGGCCCTAAACCTCCCTTTTTCTCACACCTTTGTCCAAACTCATCAGCTTTACCTTTAAAATAAGTGGTAAATGTGATCACTTCTTACCACCTCTACCTGTCCCACCTGAGTTCAAGATGTCATGACCTCTATCCCCTTGACTTCTAATAGCCTTTTAACTAGTCTCTGCTTCTGCTCTTGCCCCCAAACAGCCAATTTTCCCCCCAACAACCAGAATGATCCTTCAAAAATATAAATGAAACTGGCCACTCACCTGCTAAACACCCTTGAATGACTTCCCACCACAGTTAGAATAATACGGAAATTTTACTTTGGTCTAAAAGACCCCACATGACTTTGGTGTTGTCTATCTGTCCAATTTCTTCTTGAACTTGACTGCTCCCTCCCTGTCTGTAGCTGAGTCATACTGGCCTCCATGATCTTCATTGAACAGGTCAGGCTCTTTCCCATCTCTGTACTCACTGCTCCCTCTGCCCAGGAAGCTCTTCTTCCCAGATCTTGCAAGCTTTGCTCTTCAGTCCAGTCAGGACTCTGCTCAAATATCACTTCTTTAGACAGAATTTTCCCCACTACCCACTAAAGCAGACCCTCATTGTCTTTGTCATTTTCTAGCCTCTCATCCTGTTGATTTTTTGATAGTGCATGTTAATCTTGACTTTTTGGGATTCATTCATTTGCTTAAGCCTATCCTTTCCAAATGCAAACATCTCATTGGCAAGGACTTTTCTGCCCTGTTCATCCAAAGTGCCTAGAACAGATGGTCCATAAATACTTGTTGAGCAAGCAGATGCATGAATAAATGTGCAAAGGGACTCAGGTAAAGAGTGTAATTTCTATAATTTCAAAGCTGTGATGTACTTCCAGGAGCAGAGTAAGTAATAATGATGGGCAGGCACAATGGAAGGCCAGGTGTTGGACTAAAGAGGGCCTCTCTGGCAGCCCTACAGGACAGACATTTCTGCAATGATAGAAATGACCTATATCTCTGCTGTCTAAAACAGTAGTTACTAGCCACGTGTGACTATTGGGCACTTAAGATGTGGTCAGTGGGACTGAGAAATTGAGGAACCGAATATTAATTTAATTTAATTTCAATTAACATTTAAATAGCTATCCATGGCTTGTGGCTATGGTATTAGGACCTGAAGAATCCCTTCCCATGACTTGTGATTGCCGGATAATTGTGTATAACTCACCGAGTTGTCGAGAGGACTAATGAAATAAAAACTTGGGAAAATGTCTGGAACATAAATGGCACAAAAAAATAATAGTTGCTATTATTGCACAGAGTTGCAAATTAAAGTACTTTAAGTACATGCCATTTAAATTAGGCTGTAAAGCACTTGAAATGGACTTTTACTAATGTTAACCATGATGTTTTGTTTTTTAGAGTTGGTGGATAATCGATGTTTGGGTCTATATTTGAGCTTCCAAACTAAAAATAGCATACAACCATTCTGGGATCTCACTGAAGGAGATAGATGACTATTCCAAGTGGATCAGCTTGCTGATACTTATAAGGAGCTAATTAATTTTGACAACAGCTAATTTAGCATCTGCAAAAATTGGATTTGTAACATTACGTGTACTGTATTATTTTCAAACAGCGTCATCTGCAACTTTCTGGATGATTTTGGGTAAGAGAAGTGTTTGTTTTAATACTTACTATTAAAGTAAAAAAATAAGTATTTACTTATTGGAAACATTATGATTAATTATTTAAGGCTAAAATTGGTTTGGACATAGAATCATTTTTTTTTTCTTAGTGGCTCACCGTAATTCCTTCCATACTGAATCCAGAAAATAAAATTAGCACAGATATAGAACATAAACAGACCATTAAAACAAACCCTTATGAATAACCTAATGCAATAATAAAATCGCACATTTGTCCAGAATAAGCGTGGTACTTATTCTCAGGCCAAGAGAATTTGCGTTCTGTAGCAGAGTGAAAATGACATTCCACAGTCAGCCTAAACACTTGGTGGAGACTCTGAGACTAGAGAGAGCAGATGCATTTAAATTAAACACGTGCTTATAGGCATTAAGAAAAGTTGACATTCTTATTACAGAGAACAATTAATCTGCATCAGTTGGAAGCCACTTTACAGTTGAAAAAGTGTTCTAGGACCTAATATAAATGAGACTGGAGTAGAAAGAGAATGAAAATTCACTTTTCTACACGGGAGCCTTTTCTAATTGCCCTAGAGCTGTGCTGTTTGAAATGCTAATCCATCCTCTCCCATCCAGGACTGGGAGTCTGGGGTAACAGAAGCCAAGAAGGGTGAAGATCCCCAAATGCTAAAGTGAGGGGTGGTCAAGACTTACCAATGGGCATCACTAAGAAAAAAGGCAGCCAGCAGAGGACGAAGCAGCCCACCACGATGCCCAGCGTTTTGGCCGCTTTCTTCTCCCGGGAGAACTTGAGGAGCCTCACCGAGAAGTGCGTCTTGGTCTTGGTGCTGGCCACCCCGCTGCCTCCTGCCGGGGCGTTTTTCCGATGGATGCGGAGCGTCACTTGCTCCGAGTCCGACTTGTCGGTCTTGAGGCCAGACTTGAGGCCCCGGCTCTCCCTCTTGGCCACCACGTAGACGCGGCAGTACATGACCAAGATGATGGCCAGCGGCAGGTAGAAGGAGCCCAGCGCTGAGAAGAGCACGTAGCCCGGCTCCTCGTTGATCTGGCAGATGGTCTCGTCCTCGGGGGCCGGCTGCCTCCAACCGAACAGGGGTCCGATGGAGATGACCAGGGAGAGTGCCCAGACGCAGAGCAGAGCCATGAGACCCCTCCTCTGGGTGACGATGGTTGGGTAGCGCAGCGGGTAGCTCACGCCGATGTAGCGGTCGATGGAGATGATGCAGAGGCCCATGATGGACGCGGTGCAGCACAGGACATCCACTGCCGCCCAGATGTTGCAGAAGACCCTGCCAAAGGCCCAGTAGCCTAGGACCTCGAAGATGGCGGAGAAGGGCAGCACCGTGGAGGTGAGCAGGAGGTCGGCCACCGCCAGATTGACGATGTAGTAGTGTGTGACTGAGTGCAGGTGTCGGTGACAGGCTACGGAGAGGATCACTAGGATGTTCCCCAGCACCCCGAAAAGAATGAGGCCCCCCAAGATCACCCCGAGCAGAATGGCCTTGGAAATGTTCACCGGTGCCGGCGGTTGGGTGCAGTTGGAGCTGTCGGAAGCATTTCCGGAGAGAAACACCATGGTCCCAGCCGGGGCCGGGCGAGGTCCGGCTCTCCAGGGCCACCCCGCGGGCTGGCGCGGAGGCGGGAGCGCGGGAGCCGGGAATCAAAAGGTCTCGGCTGGAGGGAGCCCTGCCAGCTGGGTTTGGCTGGGAGTGAGAGCGCGCGCGCGGGTGGGAAACAACCCTGGCCAGCCCTGGGAACCCTCAGAAGGCCACACGAAGGGGCAGGGCATTAAAGGCGACATGGCCAGGGGCGGGCGGGGCTGCCCGGGACCCTCTCCACCTGCTGGGCTGGCCTAGCCCGGACCCCAACTCCCTCCCTACCCGAGGGTGGGCGTGAAGATCCAGGAGACTCCTTGCAACATGCAATTCCAAAATTACGAGAGTCTGCTTTTCCGCGTTGTGTGATTCGTCCTGGCTCGGGGAAGATTCAGCATTCTGCACATGATTCGGAATTCAAAATTCCAGCGCCAGTCTCCCCCACAAACCAAAGGATCAGCCGTCGATGCTCAAAGGCAGGGACCGATGGCATCTGGGCGCTGCTCCTGGCCCGCAGTTACCTACATTTTGAGCTGCCCCACCGAAGGTTCCTGCTGTCTCCAGCTTCTAGGAGCACAGGCCAGGGGACGTGGGTGTGAAATATGTGTTGAGACACAGGCGGCTGCCGGGCATCGTTTGACCGCGTCCACCTGAAAGAGCGCAAAGAGAAAGGCGGGCTGTGAGCTACGCGTCCCAAGGAGAGAGGCTGTGCTGAGCTCGACGGGCTGCGGGACGCCAGCTAGGAGCCGGGCTGGTTCTGCGGTCCAGAAGCTGCTTCGCCCGGCTGCGGCGGAGGCGACTGTGGAGCGCATCTCGCGTCCCCACCACTGGGAACCTGCCTCGCGCGCTCTACTGAGTCACCTCTGCCCGAGTTCAGGATTCGAAGCGAAAAACAAACAAACAAAAAAAACAAATCCCCCTAACCCCAGGCTCCAGCGCTCAAAGGCTGGATTTCAAGCGCCGGTACCGAGAAATTAAAATCCTCGAAGCCCGGGAAGGGCGATCGCGGCTGGCGAGTGTGTCGCACCGATCCTAGCCGGGGAATTCTGGAGGATGTACTCGGTTTCCATTAGAACAGGTTGCTTCGCAGTCACCTGGAGGGGGCGGCCTGGGAGAGGGAACCGCTGCGACCCAGGGACCGCAGGGCCAGGACCACGCGCACGCTCACGCTCACGCCGGTGGAATTCGCACTCGGGTGCGCAGAGCGCGCCGGTCTGTCCACCAGCCAAGCTGACTTGAGAGCCAGGTCCCGAGCGAAGCCGGGAGGGACCCGAGGGCTGAAAGCGACCCAGGTCTGTCCACGACGCCTCTCCAAGCCTCACTGTTGGCCACCCGAGGGGCTCCAGCTGCCAGCCGTAGCGGGACTGCGGGGGCACGGAGTGGGGAGGACGTCCCTCTGCAGAGGCAGCTTTGCAAGTGACAGTCACTGCGGATTTTGCAGGCGTAAACATGAAGCCGGCATGCCAGCGGGCAGGGGCCTCCTTCGATTTTCTGGGCTGGGGGCCACCACCTGCGTAAGAAACCTGGGTTTCCACAACTGCGAACCGACCGCAGGGACTCGGCAGGACCGCGGGGCGTGAGGAAGTGCCCACCTTGCCTTCTTGGGTTGGGCCCTGAGAGGAGACCTCGGGCAAAGACTGTTGTTAAAATCCCAAGTTTAAGACCTCACAGGTGGTATTAAAATCGTGCCACTGCAGAAACCCTTTCCCTCCTACCTCGAGGGTGATAAACACAGGGTTAAAAAGACACTTGTTAAGTAGAAGGCAACTTCGCAGAAGATGTAAGGGAATCGGGGGTGGGGTAGAGGGGCCGGTATAAAACCTGGCGGAAAAAACGGGAGGCGCTGGGAAAAGTGGGGGTTCGGTCTCACCAGACGGCGGGGGATGTCTGCCCTCACCCACTCGGCCCTGCGGGACGCCTGCCCCGGCGCACTCACCTGAAGCGCCGCTGCTGAGCCACCAGCTAGCGAGCGTGGGAGGCGGACCCGGCTTGGGTCCCGGGAGCTGCCTGCCTGCTCTTCTCTGGAGGCGGAGAGGGGACCGTCTCTCCGAGGAACCAAATCCTTGTCCTTTTGCACCCGCTGACTCACCCCTCCACCAGCGATGTCTTTAAGCTCCTGGCCCGCTGTCACTTTACCTGCATTTTTTAAAAGAGTCAAAATAGGAAAAGAAAAAAAAAAAATACAGATAACCGATAACTCCACAATCACCCTTTTAATATTCAGCTCCCCGACACCAGAAAAGAATAGCAAGGAACTTTGCAGCTCTCGCTGACGTAACACAGGCAGTAGCCCAGCTAGTACCGTAATATCCTGCTGCTACCGTATTACTCCACGGCAACAGGCACAAGTGCGTGTACAGCTGTAATGTTTTCCTCTGGCCTAAAGGGGGTTGGGTTCTAGCGTTTCTTTAAAAAGGTTTGCGTGTGTGTGTGCGTGTGTGTGTAGAGTCATTTGTAGTAAATAACTTCTTTAAATGATCTGATTTTAAAAATAAAGAAAAATGGACACCCTTGCTAGATATTGCTGTGTGTATGGTGTGTTCATAGGAATGTGTTATAAAGTAACTTTGAACAGTTTGATTTGATTAACATTTGTCCTAGGTTTTGTTAAAATCAAGAAGTATATTAAGAACATTGTAATTCCAAATATGCAAGTAAATTATAAAGTATTTTAAATAGCAAGTCAAATCAGATAAAATTTGATAAATTCGATTGTAATGAAATTATATTTTCAGGAAGATAAAGTGGATATATCTAAACCTTATTTAATATGATTCACTTCTAATTTCTTTAGACAGATGAATTTTAAGAGCATTATGGCCACAGAGTTTGGTATGTTTTAAATGCCACACATTCTTTTCCAGCTTTCTTGAGAAAACGGTATCTTTTCAGGAGTGTTACTCTCTTTAATTCATTAATAGCTGGAGTATGAAAACCTAGCACCACCAGCCTCATTACTTTTTTCTGGTAAATTACATACTCTGTTTCCCTTATGATTGAATGAAGTCATATGTGTTTCAGAATATTGGGAACATAGAAAAATGTTTCCCACTCCAATTCCTACCTCCTAAGTCATCTTCTTTCATCTTTGTTGATGCAGACAAAGTGGAATGTTCTTATTTACTAGTTCCCCTTAAACCTAGGAACAAAGAAATAACTTTAAGCAGTGGTGTGCACTTAGATTCTCTCCTGTGAACAAAATCATATTAGTATGATTACCTTTTCTAAGTGAGATTATGTTTGGGAGGCTCTTCTATAGCAATAAATCTCAAAATGCTTCAGAGGAATGCCCATGAGAGGGTCAGTGAATCCTATGTCATGGAAGACCTAATATTTATATTTATTTCTCTATTGTATACAAAGTACTCCACCTCTGCCTCACACCTGTAGGGATAGAACTCACACTTAACACATTTGATTTGAATTTAATATATTTTTAAAACTGAATTTTGTGCCATAGGAGGAGCATCCTGGTTGAACAGACAGCTCCCCTTCTCATTACTAAGTCACCTGCTCTCTCTGGGATTCAGCACCCTTAGGAGGAAGCTTGACCTCAATTCCCTGCACTTCTAGTACTTTATCATCAAATATGTGTATAATGCCTGTGCCTCCGAAATCTCATCCATCAGAGGGATATACACTGTTTAGTTTCATATTCATTAACCGGATGCTGTGAATGCAAATTCTTCATTAAGATGTGTTCCATGGTAGATAAGGGAAGCAGTGTTATCAGCAAGTAAAGCAACTGGAAATTGCTCAGCTCTGCAAGGTCGAAAATCACAAAGGTCTTTGTAACTCCCAGTACCCACTCTCCAACAATTAAGAATACACATAATCCATCCCTGCACCCACCTCCAATAATTAACTAGTTAATGCCAAGATAAGGAAGAGCAGCTCTTCATGCTGCTAGCAGGTAGGTCTTTCAAATCTGCTTCTCAGCCTGTGACCATCAATCCTTGCAAAGCAACCTCTCAGAACCAATTTTTCAGTCACCTACCATTGATTCACAAACAGAAAACTATCCATCTGTTGGTTACTCTTTAAATAATAGTTGACATGGACATCCCAGAAGGCGTCTGAGTTGGACACATGGGTAGGTGGAGTGGAGAGGAGTATGCTCTGGGGTCACAAAAATGATATTCTGACCCTCCTATGAGACCATGGCAAAGCCTTGGTTTCCTAATTTTTAAAGGGAGACAATGAACCCTCACAAGGTTGTTATTAGTGTTGAAAGAAATTGTTTCTCAAAACTCAGTTCATAATGTAAACTAACTCTATTATTAATGTTATTAACTCCCTTTCTGCTCATTTGTATGTTACTTTATAGTGAAATATATTTCTAACCCAGGTAGTCCATGAACACTGGTAAATTCAGCTGGAGAATGTGCTAAGTGTCTTGAGCATTGCACTTGAGCTAAGTGGTGTAATCAGAAAGACCCAACATGGCTGAGTTGCGAGAGCTGGTCCTGATCACCAGCTACTTCTTTTCTTCTTACTTTCCCCCCTTGTTCTTTGAATTGAGGGGCCATGCAAATGTGTGTGAACACCTCAGCCCCTACATCCAGAAAGCTGCCTTCTTGGCCTCGGGCCTTGGGGTGCACACATTTGTGATGTCTGCCCAGAGAGGATGGACCTGAAAATGATTGTGTGGCCATCTAGGGTAAGGGATTCTGAGTCCCAGGGCATGGCCTAGAAGGGAGGGCACAGGCTCCAGGTGGGCATATCACATTAGTCCTATGGCCAAAAGGAGTCAGAGCTGGACTCTCTAAAGCATGAAACCCTAGCCAGGAGTCCCTCTTGCCTGGCTCTGAGGGTGATACTCTGAAGACTTTCTGTGTGACGGAAATTGAAGAATCCCCTGAAGGGGTGATTGTGGAAAGGCTCATAAAATGATATTGCTTGATGTAGGATTTGTGGAATCAGCAGGATTGACATTTGTAGACAAAAGTGAGGAAGGTGAACCATCAGCAGCCGCATTTTAGAGTGGTGTGTCAGGGATGCTGGGGGAATGAGTCTGATTGGAGAAGGGCTGAGCAATGGACATAAACCCATGCGTTGATTGACAGGACTTTCTTAGTGACTAGTGAGGAACTCAGCAAGTGTGGTAGGCTTAGGGATTTAAAAAATAAAGAATCTGTCTATCATTCCCTTAGAAAACAATACACAATGGAATTAGGAGCTGTGTTCTGGAATTTATGATTGCAAATGACAGAGTAGAAGACTTAATGTTAGTATCTACCCCAAAGACTTGGCTTTTCAACTAATTCTCCTAAGGCTTAAGAAGTTAAAGAGGCAAGAAAATGAAAAACATTTCTCAGAAAGATATTGATGCAGTATCAAGTCACAGTTCTCCAAAGAAGCATTGTGTCCTAATCCTTTATCGAACTGAGAACACTGCACAGCCCACAGACACTGCTGAGGGATGTCTTTGATGAGATAATAATTCTGTCTTTGCTATAATTTGTCCAAATCTTCATTGCCCTGAGAAAATAACATACTCCAAGTCTTGGGAGTCATACCACCCCATCCCTACACTGTGGGACTATCATGGTAGGAATGTGAGGTCAAGTCACCCTATAGCTGATCAGCAAATAATTCCTTTAAAACAATAAGACTTTGCTCTTGCATAGCAAGTCTGAGCTGAGGCATATCAATCAAATTTTTTCAATATCTTCGTCAATATCATCTGGAAATGGAAGTAAAAGAAAATCAATATGTGTACCAAGTGCAGACACATTTTTATCTCATCTCTTCACTTGCTGATGGGCTGTTATAGGCACATTAAAATGCTTATTGACTTGTATTTAATTATAAAATTTGTGCTCATAATAGCACATTTGGAAAAGTCAGACAGAAATGTATGAAAATAAAAATTATCTGTAATCCTGCTGCTGGAGAAATAGCTACTATTAAATATTTGTCATATTTTCTCATTTTTTGCTAATGTGTATAAATTATATACATAAA